TTTGTGTTTTCTCCTTGGCCTCTCACAGTATTTGAGCCTGTGACCCTCCCTGAATCCAGAGCAGGCACACCAAAGTCAAACTAGTTCATGGGAAATGTGAAATATTCTCTCAATAGCTATATTCACTGCCTTACCCATAAAAATCAATTCTGGTTGTTTTAGGTTCACTAATTATATCAGAAGTCTACAAACGACAACCAGGGAGAAAAACCCAGCCCACCACCTATTCTTGTATGTCCCCTACCTGAGCTGACTATGGTTTTCACATTTTTGAACAGTTGAAAAATTTGAAGGAAGAATAATATTTTGTGACATGTAAAAGTTAGGTGAAATTCACGCTTCAATGTCAATAAAGTTTTATTTGAACATAGCCACTCTCATTTTATATATGTACTATCTATAGCTGCTTTCTAATAACAACGGCAATTAAGTAATTGCCACAGTGACTTCATGGCCCTCAAAGCCTAAAAATGACTCCTTTACAGAAAAGGTTTGTACGCCCATGAGCTACAACAAAGAAAATTTAAAGCCGCCAATTAACTGCTGAAAAGTCCCAAATATTTGTGTGGAACTGTTAACACCTAACCCATCACTCACAGATGAATCTTCATAAAACACGGCTCAAGTGACGCCTCTCTACCACCAAAAACTTGGTTTATATGTTTTAGTTGATTTTTTTTTTTTTTTAGAGAGAGAGTAAGGGAGAGGGAAAGATAGAAATATCGATCAGCTACCTCCTGCACCCCCCCCCACTGGGGATTGAGCCCGCAACCTGGGCATGTGCCCTGATAAAAAATTGAACCTGGACCTCTCAGTCCCTGGGATGGCATTCAATCCACTAAGCCACACAGGCTGGGGACCAAAAACGTTTTTGGTACTCCCTGCCTATGAAGGAAAGTTAACTGCAGCATTATTCACAGTGGCCAAGACATGCAAACAACTGAAGTGTCCTTCAATAGAAAATTGGATAAAGAAGATGTGGTACATATCACAATGGAATACTATTCAGTCATAAGAAAAATGAAATACTGCCATTTGCAACAACATGGATGGACCTTGAGAATATCATGCTAAGCGAAATAAACCAGACAGAAAAAATTAAGAACCATATGATTTCACTCATGTGTGGGATATAAAACTAAAAGTAACAAATGAACAAACAAGAAAAACAAACAAATAAAAATCATAGACACACAACAGTATAGTAGTTCCCAGAAGGAAGGATAGTGGGGGGGTGGTAAAGAGTAAAAGGGGTCAAATATATGATGACAGAAGGAGATTTGACTTGGGGTGGTGAACACACAATGCAGCATACAGATGATGTGTCATACAATTGTACACTTGAAACCTATATAATCTTACTAACCAGTGCTACCCCAATAAGTTTAATTTTTAAAAGTCTGAAGTATACAATAGTTCTTGCATGGTCAAGACCTCAACCTCATCTCCCAAACTTCCCTTCCCGCACCTCATTCCCGATGAATTATCTGCTGTCCCTTTACCTTCTCTGTGTCATTACTACTGCAATGAAATCCTGTCCTGAATACAGCGCAGTGCAGTAAAATGAGCAGGGCCTTAAGAGTCAGGTCTGGGTTCTAATTCAGACTCTTGCCCTTATTAGTTGAGAAAGTTACTCAAGGCATGTCAATGTCAGTTTTCTCATCTTTAAAATGAGAATAACAATCCTTACTTCTTAAGGCTTTTGCAAGATTTGAATGCCTGGCACATGGGAATAGTTAAGCAAGTGGTAAGTGTTATTAGTTCTGCCCAATTCCAATGCTCCTTCCTCCTTTGCTTTGCCTTGTCCTCCCATTGGGAAATGAGCTCTCCCTCTGATGTCACACACCATGGAATCCACTTGTCCCACTCTTATGGCTCTGATCCATATTTACTACCTACCTTATATAATACTGATCTCTACTTATATCTTACCTGGGAACTCCTTGAGGGCAGGATCCGTCTTTGACTCACTCTGTCACATCTGTGACAGCCCTGAGAACAATGACTTGAATCTAGTATGTGCACAAATATTTACTGAATGAATGGTATGTGTTCATTGAACTATATATAACACTTATTAGGTGTATCATGTTCCACTGGGATGCAAGCAGGAGCCACACCACACTTGTTCTTAATAATACCTAGCCTGAGTGCTTAGAAAACATTCAAACCACATCAGGGACCAAAAGTGGCAACAATAAAACATAGAACAAACAGGCAAACAGGCAATATTATTCACTTTCAGAGTGGCAGTGTTTTTATTTCCATAACTTTAAGTTATAATCTTCATCTTGTACTCCAACAATTATAAATGGGTCAAATTTAAAGGGGGGAATCAACCACTTTCCCAAGAGAAACATGTTGAATATCATTAATAACATCAGTTACCTCTAAGCACAGAGCTAAGTAAATAAATATTCAGGCATGACCTGCATTTAATAAAGTATCACACACACTTTTGACTAAAACCTCATCTAGAGCTCCATACCAAATCAGACAGGAGCATGATAAATGTTAAGAATCAGGTCCCACCTAGGCTAACAACTGTCACAAAACTGCAGCAGGGGTTCGCAGCATGCCTCATTAGTTCCTAGAAACACTAGCCAAAGTGAATCCACACACACGAATACAAAATGAACTGCTGAGACATGCCAATGTAAGATGTGACATTTTCCAAGATGATAACAAAAAATATGTTCCCAACTTCGTCTGCTGATGCATTTCCCTTCAGAAACTTCCTGACAAATAGACATTCACCAGCAGATACATTATTAAACTGAAGGTGTATTATGAACAACTTACACTGTTCAGCTGTTTCCATTTATAAAGCACTTTCATAATCCATCCACTTCTTTGAGCCTTCCAACAACCCCGTGAGGCAGGTATAATTACCCCCACTTTACAGACGAAGTATGTGATTTGGGCCATCTTATCCCAAGACAGTGAAGCCAAGAAGGTAACCCAAGGCTTAGCAATCCATTCCCACTGTTCTCTTCTCCTTTTTCCTCCACACAAAGCAAAAGTCTGCATTTGGTTTCCTCCCACCCCACTTACTCTCAAACTGCAGCCCAGCATGAGGAAGCAGAGTGGGAGTATAAACATTACTGTGGTCAACACACCAAAATACATCCCGCCTTTGCCTCTTGCTAATCACGTTTCTAGAACCATGCAACTTCAAGGAAAGAAATAGACTGGGTTAGCTGCTGGGTTTTATTTCCTACCTGTCTCCTTTGGGGCTTTCTATATATACTCAGAAACAGAAAAGCACCATAAATATCAAGAAGGCCCCCGGGCCAAAAGAGTTCTTGGACAAGCCGCGTGTTCGGAGGTCTCGGCCTGCATACTTATCGACTCTTACCGGGTTCAGGCTCAGTGCCCCTACCTCACTACACCTTAGCCCTTTCTCAAATGTTTCATCAAACTGTTTATTTTTTCTTATGAATCTTAACCACTCTGCTGTGCCTTAGCTGGTCATTTCTTTTGTGAACTCAAACACTTTCAACTTACCGTGGACTCTACAAAGCCACTTCCTTCCTGGGGCTTGCAAGGAGCTTCATTTGACTGTGGACACTGCACCAAGCAGTTGACTGTAATAAGTAAATAAAAAGAAAACCCGAATATTCCCCCCTTTTCCTTTTGGTGAACCCTCACCTTTCTGATGACTTTTGGGGCACAACCCGTATATCTTTAACCTCTCAATGAACTCCTCAGTGGGGGAAACAAAGCCTAGCCTATAGGTCTCTAAGGATCAACATCAAATACCCCATCCTAAAGGTGCTGCCACAACACGACAAACCATTCAATGAGCAGATTCAATCAAATGACGGCAGGCACTTGGACAATGTATATACTCTGACGGAAGCAGGCAGACAGCACCTGCGGGAAGCAGAGGCTCTAAGGGGCAAATCGGAAGAGTACATAACAAATACCAGCTGGTAGTAGTTACCACCGCGCTGCCGCTCCCAGCCTCTCCCCTCCTCGCTCTTGGTTGGCTGCCTCTGCCCTAAGAAGGTCCCCACGCTGGACCCACACACAGTATGTTTGTGATAAATCCACTCAGAACAAAGTTATAAGAATACAGCACATTTTTGCCAGTGAGTCTGATTTTATTTTTCACAATCAACTTTCAGCCAAGAAAAGAAAAACGAATAATAATTATTACTCCACCCAATCACTATTATCCATTCTTCTGGGTATATACTTTGGCACAAAGGGTTGATTTGCCTGCACTCTTATTGGGGATGTTTATTATTTTTTCTCTTACTCCAAGACTTCTACCAACTAGCAGAAAGAAACACTCCACACAGTGGGAAGAGGGCAGAGTCCCACAGCTGTGAGCTGTGACCACTGGGAAAGCCAAGCTAGGTGAGGCTCCTTGAGTCCCATGACTCCCAACCCTAGCCCTGTAATTTGCTCCCTGGGCGCTAGGCTCCTTGTGCCAGGGACTAGGCAGGTCTTTGTTTGTACCACACTCAAGCAGAATTCAGTGACATGTGAGACCATGCAGTAGTTCTGAGCTTAGACTGACCTTAACCAAAACCATAGCTCAGTAACTTAAAGCAAGAAAGAAAAAATCACTGGGGCAAAGGTGCTTTCCTTAGAAAATAACTTGCCATGGAGAATGTTTTACTGCCCCAACCCTTATCTGCAACAACTAGAGTCCAGGGCAAAACCGCTACTTAAGCTGCTGACCTTAATTCCCAGTTCTTTAGGAGGTTCTGGGACAGTTACTTGGTCAGCTTGCATGTCCCCTTGCGGCAAGCATGGGTGTTAAACATGTCTGACAGTACAGGCAGATTGTCCCTTTGGAACAGCAAGGTACCATGACCGTTGCAGGACAGGAGGGTCCCTGGCACAGCTATAGAGTCTGTCCTACAAGGTCAACGCCACTAAAGGCAAAGGCCCACGGTTCTAAGTCCTCCAGTTCCCCTGCGGTGATAAAAGGCTTAAAGGCAGAGCCACCAGATCAAGGAAACACCTCCTGGAAGCCTTCCACTTACTTCTCATTGCGCTGATAAGCGCGTTGCCGTCTTTGATCACGTCTTTGATGAATTTATTGGTCCTCTCCAGCTCCTGCTCATAACACTTGAGCCTCTCGCGGAAATTGGGGCTGTCCAGGTAGCAGTCGCTGAACTCCAGAGGGGGATGCCCCATGGTTCTGATAGCGGGGACAGGGAAGAGGAAAGAAAGATACAAAGACCAAGGGCATTAGTGGCACAGTACCGGGAGTGGATGGGAGGGTTTGCTCGCAGTCTCCTTCCCTTTGGACGGCAGGTACCTGTTCTGATGAGAAGGGCTGGGGAGAGCTGGCTGGTCCGCACCGGAAACGCGCGACCCCGGGATGGCTTCAGGGGACTGGGAGAGCTAAGGCAGTCGGCTCCCGGCAGGGTGCTGCCTAGCAGTCAGCATAACCCCTGGGCATCGCCTCCCCAGACGAGCAGCAGAAACCGCAGCCCGGCTCGCCTTCGGAGACCAGCCGGGTCCTTCTAAGCGATCGCAAACGTGACACTTCAGCCCGCCCAGGGTGTAGGCGGGGGCAGGCGCTGGGGATGGGAGCCGCCTCTCCTCTTGGCTCGGCTCGCCGCTCCTCGCTTCCGAGCTTGCAGATTTCCTCCGCCGAGCTCCGCGGGCAACCCCGGCTGCTCGCTCCCCTCCCCCCCTTAAAGCCGGCGCCCCCGCCCCCGGCGGGCGAGGCCCCGCAGCCCAGCCCGAGCGCCCGCGCCCCTCCTTCCACCGCCTTCTTTGCCCTCGAGGCTCCCGGTACCGGAGTTCCCCGGCTCCCGGGAGCTTGTCGCGGTCCCAGGGAGCCGGCCTGCGGCCCGCTTAGGCGCCGGAGGGGTTAAGCCGAGGCGGCAATGAAACGGAGCCTTCCTCCACCGACATCGGAGCGGGAAGAGGAGGGCGAGCGCGCGACACAATAGCTGCGGTGGCCCGGCGCTTCCCTACGGAAACTGGGGAGCAGTCAGCGCCCTAGGACTCCAGCTGGAAAGCGTGGCGGCCTGGGAGATGTAGTCTTTCCGCTTCACGCCCCATGACTCCTCCCTGCCATCTCCCGATCGCCCCGCCAGGGCGGCCGCCCTCCCAGCAAGGCATTCCCAGGGCGCCCCAGGCCCGCCGCCCGGCCCCGTCTCCAGGGGCAGGTGCGCCGCGCTGGAGTCTTAGTGGAAAGTCGCAGACACTGGAGCAGAGCCCGGGAGGATGTCGTGGGTGGCCCTCTCTCATTGACCATTGTTTGGCTGGATTGCTTATTTGTTTTCCTTTCAGCCTCCCTCTGACCTACAGACTTCTTTTGCTCCCTTCCTCCTGGTGGGCCTTCGACCTGCGGGGGTGGCTTCCTACTCCAGGCCATCTACGTTAAGCTCAGAACCCCTCTGCCGAAAAAAGAGAGGTCATCATTAAGAGTTGCCTTTTTGCTGAATAAGACTTTAGAGCATGGTTTCTGTGACCCAACTCATTGCACTGGCCATTGATTAAATCACATGATTTTCCATGTGTTAAGTGGGAAACCTAAGAGGAGGAGGCTGTAAGTTTGTCTTGCAGCCCTGGCCAGTTGGCTCAGAGATTAGAGCATCGGCCTGCAGAGTGTCGCAGGTTCAATTCCCAGTCTTGGGCACATACCGGGGTTGCAGGTTCATCCCTGCCCAGGTCAGGCACATGCGGGAGGGAACCCATCACACACATCGATGTTTCTCTCTCTCCCTCCCTTCCACTGTATCTAAAAATCAATGAAAAAAATATCCTTGGGTGAGGATTAACAACAGCAAAAAAATTGTCTTGCAGCTTACCTAAGAGGCCTCCTGTCCATTGTCCATTGCAGGAGAACAGGGGCTATTCTTTTTTAATCCTTAGAAGAGAAACATCAATGTGAGAGAGAAACATCTATCGATTGCCTTCTGTAGGTGCCCGGACTGGGGATTGAACCCACAACCTGGGTATGTGTCCTGAGCAGGAATGAAAACTGCAACCTTTTGGTGCACAGGACAATGCTCAACCAACTGAGTCACTCCCTGCAGACAAACAGGGGCTACTCTTAACATGTGGCTGCCTTGAGATTCAGAGTAGCTAGGGGCTGGAAAATAGTGTGTACATGGGCAAAAAGATCCCTTTGGATTTTGGAGAAGTGTTTCAGATTACATTGCCCTGTGAAGAAAGTTTAGAAAAGCCCAAAGTGAAGGGGTTGTAAGTAGAGTGATAATGACTAATTTACCTGTATTAGTGCTCTATTGCTGCTGTAACAAAGTACTACTAGTTTAGGGACTTCAAACAACACAAATTTATTATTCTATAGTTCTGGAAGTCAGAAATCAGAAATGGACCTCATTGACCCAAAATCAGAATGTCAGAAGGCCTGTCTTCCTTACTGGAGTCTATAGGGAAAATCTATATCCTTGCCTTTTCCAACTTCTAGAAGGTGTCCACACCCCTTAGACAATAGCCCCCTTTATCTATCTTCAAAGCCAGCAATGTATGATCAAGTCTTTCTCCCACAACACTGCTGTAACACTGACTCTCTTGCCTCCCTCTTTCACTTATGAGGATCATAACCCAGGATAACCTCTCCATCTCAAGATCCTTAACCACATCTGCAAAGTCTCTTTTGCCATACAAGGTAACACTTGCAGGTTCCAGGACTTAGAGCATGGCATCTTTGGGGGTTCATTCTTCTACGCAATCCAATAACCCACCTCCCTAATCCTCAAAACAATCCTATGGGGTTGTATTATTTTTGTACCCATTTAACGATGAGATAGTTGAGTCAAAGAGAGGTTAAGTGACTTACCCAAGGACACGTGGCTAGTTAAGTGTCAGTGCTTGAACCTGAGCCCAGCCTGGCTGGTTCCAGAGACACGGCTCTTAACCACTACACTATATCACAGCATGGTAAAGAGTCCAAAAAACACCTTCTGAAAATTAATAAGTAGTCACATCCCCATGTAGGATATTATTTCTTACTCTTTTTATCTTTATCCTATTTTATCTTTATTCTCTACGCTTTTTATATTTTTATGAGAAAATGCCCAAAATGGCTTTAAAAGCACCAATGCAGATATACCACTAAATAGGTATATGGTCTTTCATTCTAGCAAGGTTCCTAGAGCATTCATTCAGTAATTCCACAAGCTTTTATTGAGCAGCTGCTATATGCCTTGACTTACAGAGCCTATACTTATATTTTCATGACTATGAACATTACCATTGATGTTATTGATGTTAGACACAGTCATGCTCATCTAACTTCCTATGCTCAAAGAGTTTTATAGTCATCTGTATTATCCTTTATATAGACAACAAAACTAAAGTGCAGAGGAAAACAAATACCCTAGACCAAATTCCAAAGAAGAAAGAGGGTTAAAATTAGAACTCAGTCCTTCAGATAAGAGCTGCCTTAATTGAGCATTATCCTAGATGCTTTGTTGCTCACAACAACGCAATAGGACTGGGGTCTTCAAAGTTTTATTCACGTATCCCCTAAGAGAATTTTGAGAAGCTATGTACCCCCTCGCACATTTTTAGGTTGACATCTATATTTTTCATTATATTTCAATAGTTGCAAAAGGTGTAATTGCTAGCATACTAGACATATTGACAATTAAAATAAAATGTTATAGCGCACTTTTAAAGATTTTCATTGGATTTACCATCAAATATTAAACGCCAAGCACAATAAAAGAAAAGTGTAAACTTTTCTTTAACCTTCATAAAGTTTATATTGTTCCTTTTTCCTTTTTCAAACCAAATTCCCATTGCATTCTCCCCACAGAATTGTATTCTTTCATGAAGTATATTTATACTTGAAAGTCCTCTATTGATCACCATATTGAATTTCTCTGCAACAAAATATGTCCATAAATAGAAACTGAATTATTTTTATTTCCTTTTGACCATAAGGCTCTAAGTATAAAGTTGTCTGGATTGAGCTATAATTTCAATTATTATATATATACAATAGATAAAAATAACATGAAGACATACGGTTCTCAGGCAAATAATTTTTAGAGACAATAGTAAAGGAAGTTCAGGGTTTGGAAATATGGTTCCCTTTCAGCTTTATTCATAGCTACCAAAACTTTGAAGGAAACAAGATGTCCTTGATTATGTGAATGGACAAATAAACTGTAGTACATCCAGACAATGCAAGAAATGAGCTATCAAGACATGGGGAACCTTAAATGCCAATCTGAAAGTGCTACATACTATATGGTGTCAACTAGATGATATTCTGAAAAAGACCAAACTATGAAGACAATTTAAAAGAGCAGTGATAGTCAGGGGGTGGCGGTCAGAGAGAGAGACATGAATGGGTGGAATACAAGAGACATGTTGGGGCAGTGAAAATACCCTGTAAGATACTATAACGGTAGACACATGTCATTATACATTTTTTCCAAACCCAGAGAATGTACAGTACCACAAAGTACCTCAAGTAAACTATGGACTTTGGGTTACAGTGATGTGTCAGTGTAGGTTCATCAGCTGTATGAACTGTACCGCTCCAGAGGGCACACTGATAATGAGGGGAGCTGAGCTTGGATGAGGGGCAGGAGTATGTGGAAAATCTCTGTACTTCCCTCTCAACTTCTGTGACCCTAAAACTGCTCTAAATTTTTTCATAGTGTTCAGGGAGACACATCCCATCTCTCCTGTTTCTTGTATGTCAAGGTAACAGCATCTCCACAGTCTTGATACGGGACAGCACCTCTTTCCTAAGCAATCACCCTGTTTCTGCCGCGATACCGTGAAAAAACACTGAGCTTGGAGCAATCCAGGTAACACAGGCCGGAAGTTCATTGTCCTTGTTCTGACGGACAGCTCCAGAGGCAGAGAGGAGACAGATGGTTCACAACGATATTCCTAGAAAAACATTACTGTTTATGTAACCACACAACTTGATCCCTGTTCATTATCATCATAGGAAACTAAAAAGCCAGAGGAATTTACATTTTAACTCACATAAAAACTCTAGCCTGGTTTGCGGTCTGGTTAATATACTGTCTCCACTCAGGGCAGTGAAAATACTCACAAGGTCTGCAACTCAGCAACATGGCCAACACGCCCCTTTGGGATTCAAGAACCAGAACCTGAAATCCTGGAGTTAATCATTTTAATGGATTACTCCAAGGCGGAGTTGCAAGACAGCCATAAGTCTTGACACTGTTCAGCTCAAGTCATCCAGGATAGGAGCTTCTCAGCTTCATGGGTCTGTCTGTCTGTCCTGCATGCTGGAATGAGAACCATAATCCTTTAACCTAATGAAGCAGATCAGCCTTCTATTAATTCAAATTGCTTTCACAACTTGAAATATATAAAGAGAGAGAAAGTCAAGAAACCAGATGTAGATTCTTAGGAAAGGCAATGTACCTGCCCAAGAAAACCAAATAAATATCCAATATTGACTTAACATTGCCAGCTTTTGCTTTATCTCTGCCATCTGGGACCGCAGCTAGCCTCATTAAAATATTTCTTTACAGTACTTAATCATTTGCTCCTCTCCACGTATGAAAAAATATATAAGGAGTTCTTTTAAAAGTGGTCTGAGAACCTGAAATGAAAGGCATTTTTCCAAATGACACTTGTTAGGCTTCAGTAATTTTTTAAAAATACACATTTATTGA